CAGTGGGTCTAAATGTGAGTCTAGATTAGGCTAATCAATTTCTTATCAAAATATAAAAATTAAAGAGAATCCATTGGTTATCAATACAGTCATTAGATTATCTGACTCAGGACAGTGAGGGAGAATACTTAATGAATGATAGTAATGTTACTTCAGTTTTGAAACTGAATAAGCACATTACAGCTTATTTCCTGTTCATTTTGCTTTGTTTTTGTCAAACTGTGTGAGTGACATGGCAACTCCTTCCTACACCCTATTTAAAGTATTTTTCCCCCACAGATTAACAAGAATAAATTCTGGGGAACTTTGATCCCAAAGCCTCAGAGAGAAGTTTAAAAGTGAAGTTCTACCAATCCATGAGCATGGGAGATCTCTCCACTTTCTATAGTCTTCCTCAATCTCTTTCTTCAGAATTGTATAGTTTTCCTTGTAGAGGTCTTTCACATCTTTTGTTAGGTTTACACCTAGGTATTTGATTTTGTTTGAGGCTATTGTAAATGGAATTGTTTTCATACATTCTTTTTCAGTTTGCTCATTGTTACGTGTATAGAAATGCTTAAGATTTTTCTATGTTGATTTTATATCCTGCACCTTGCCATAAGCTATTGATGATGTCTAGAAGCTTCTGAGTAGAGTTTTTTGGGTCTTTAAGGTTATAGGATCATGTCGTCTGCAAATAGGGATATTTTGACAGTTTCTTTACCTATTTGTATTCCTTTTATTCCTTCTTCTTGCCTAATTGCTCTGGCTAGGAATTCCGGGACTATGTTGAATAGGAGTGGAGATAGTGGGCATCAACATAGTAAAAATGTTGATACTCCCAAAAGTAATCTACATGTTTAATGCAATTCCCATCAAAATTCCAATGACATTCATTAAAGAGATTGAAAAATCTACTGTGAAATTTATATGGAAACACAAGAGGCCACGAATAGCCAAGGCAATACTCAGTCAAAAGAACAATGCTGGAGGTATCACAATACCTGACTTCAAACTATATTACAAAGCAATAACAATAAAAACAGAATGGTACTGGCACAAAAACAGACATGAAGACCAGTGGAACAGAATAGAGGACCCAGATATGAAGCCACACAACTATAACCAACTTGTCTTTGACAAAGGAGCTAAAAATATACGATGGAGAAATAGCAGCCTCTTCAACAAAAACTGCTGGGAAAACTGGTTAGCAGTCTGCAAAAAACTGAAACTAGATCCATGTATATCACCCTATACCAAGATTAACTCAAAATGGATCAAGGATCTTAATATCAGACCCCAAACTCTAAAGTTGATACAGGAAAGAGTAGGAAATACTCTGGAGTTAGTAGGTATAGGTAAGAACTTTCTCAACGAAACCCCAGCAGCACAGCAACTAAGAGATAGCATAGATAAATGGGACCTCATAAAGCTAAAAAGCTTCTGTTCATCAAAAGAAATGGTCTCTAAACTGAAGAGAACACCCACAGAGTGGGAGAAAATATTTGCCAACTATAAAAGGACTGATAACCAGAATATATAGGGAACTTAAAAAACTAAATTCTCCCAAAACTAATGAACCAATAAAGAAATGGGCAAGTGAACTAAACAGAACTTTCTCAAAAGAAAAATTCAAATGGCCAAAAAACACATGAAAAAATGCTCACCATCTCTAGCAATAAAGGAAATGCAAATTAAAACACTAAGATTCCACCTCACCCGTTAGAATAGCCATCATAGCAACACCAAACAACAGGTGTTGGCGAGGATGCGGGGAAAAAGGAACCCTCTTACACTGTTGGTGGGAATGTAACTAGTACAACCACTCTGGAAAAATTTTGGAGGCTACTTAAAAAGCTAGACATGATCTACCATTTGATCCAGCAATACCACTCTTGGGGATATACCCAAAAGACTGTGACACAGGTTACTCCAGAGGCACCTGCACACCCATGTTTATTGCGCACTATTCACAATAGCCAAGTTATGGAAACAGCCAAGATGCCCCACCACTGACGAATGGATTAAGAAAATGTGGTATCTATACACAATGGAATTTTATGCAGCCATGAAGAAGAACGAAATGTTATCATTCACTGGTAAATGGATGGAATTGGAGAACATCATTCTGAGTGAGGTTAGCCTGGCCCAAAAGACCAAAAATCGTATGTTCTCCCTCATATGTGGACATTAGATCAAGGGCAAACACAACAATGGGATTGGACTATGAGCACATGATAAAGCGAGAGCACACAAGGGAGGGTGAGGATAGGTAAGACACCTAAAAATAGCTAGCATTTGTTGCCCTTAATGCAGAGAAACTAAAGCAGATACCTTAAAGCAACTGAGGCCAATAGGAAAAGGGGACCAGGAACTAGAGAAAAGGTTAGATCAAAAAGAATTAACCTAGAAGGTAACAGCCACGCATAGGAAATCAATGTGAGTCAATACCCTGTATAGCTATCCTTATCTCAACCAGCAAAAACCCTTGTTCCTTCCTGTTATTGCTTATACTCTCTCTACAACAAAATTAGAAATAAGGGCAAAATAGTTTCTGCTTGGTATTGAGGGGTTGGGGGGAAGAGGGGAGGGGGGAGTGGGTGGTAAGGGAGGGGGTGGGGGCAGGGGGTAGAAATGAACCAAGCCTTGTATGCACATATGAATAATAAAAGAAAAAAAAAAGTTCTGGCTGGGGGCATGAATTAAGTGGTAGAGTGCCTGCCTAGCAAGCATGAGGCCCTGAGTTCAAATCCTAGTACTGCCAAAAAAGAGAGAGTAGAGAGAGAGGAGGGGAGGGGAGAGAGAGAAAGAGAAAAAGGAAAGAAAGTGAGGGAGGAAGGAAGGAAGGAAGAGTGAAGTTACTTCTCGACATCTGTTCTTTCTCAATCTTGCTTCATCTATTTGCCACTTTCCTATATGAGAAAAGAAAACTTATATAACAATACATACTAGGTAGATCTTTCCCATCTTTTTTATTTCAGTTAACGCAAAATATATAATTCTGCAAAATGTGCTATTACTATATTGTATGGCTGTGAGGTTCACTTAGTGAGTGTGTTTTTCCAGGAAGGAATGATATTTTTAAGTCATTTGAGCTTTTGGTGAGGAAAGAGGTGACTAGAGTATTCAGCATGGTAGGGAAAAAGACACAGGAACATTATAGGGTAGGCTTCTTAGCAAAGTAGAAATTTAGGTCAGGAGACAAAGATCACATCTGAATCTTTTTTTTGAATTAGTTATTTATATCTAAGATCTAATTTCTTATTAAAATTAACTTACATAGAGCATGTATTTTGGTCTTAAAACAAGGTAATATATATGAAAGTACTCAAAAATCTCTTTCATCAAAAAAATTACTGTTACTTTACAATTATTTCCTAATGGTGTACCTTAATGCTGTTGTTTGTTTTGAGACAGGATCTCAGTATGTAGCTTAGACTTCCTCAAACATAAGATCCTCCTGCCTCCACTTCCTAGTGCTGGAATTACAGATAATGTACCACCTCGTGTGCCTTACAGTTCTTTTTAAAGAGATTGCTTTCTAAGTAAAAGGTGAAGGAAAGCCCTTAGAACATTTTTTTAAAATTATCATGAATGAAAATCAATTATATTTGCTTTGCATTTAGCAAATTAATTGTTACATGTTTCAAGCACTGGTTTTTGTTTTGTCTACATGTTGTTTCATTGGTATGATTAAGTGGATTTTTCTTATCTTAAGGTGGGATCTCATCGTGTCCGTATGTCAAGGGGATTTGAAGCCAATGCACCTGCTTTTGATAGGTAAAATTGGCCATTTTTACATAGTGCTGTAAGTTTTGTTATTGCCAACAGTCAGATTATATTTACTGATGCATTTCAACTTTTTTTTGGCTTTAAATAAAATTCCTTCTAATTGCTAATTCAATTGGAAGACCATGAACACCTAGTGTTAGACTTCTACGGGTAGTAGTGTTGGAAGGGTCTTGATATCTTGGCCTTAAAAGTTCCTCTCCTCTTGTTCACTATAATATCCACTAGCCATATATAGCTACTGAGCACTTGAAATGTGACTAGGTAAGTTGAAACAGGGTGTAAGTATCAAGGGGTACACTGGATTTCAAAGGCTTATTGCAAAAAAAAAAAAAATGAAGGAATATAAAATGTCTCAATATTTTGTATTAATTACATGTGAAATGACATTTTAGGTGTGTTGAGTTAAATAAAATATACTTAATTTCCTTTTGCTTTAAGGTCTCTTCTTGAATTTAAAATTATAGATGAGGCTCATTTTATATTTACTTTGTATGGCATTGCTATATACAGTAGTCCCCTCTTATCCTCATGGGATCTAAGACCCCCTTCATATATATACATATATGTTTTCTTAAACATGCATTGCTGTGTTAAGGTTTACTAGGCACTTTAAACATACATTGCTATGTTAAAGTAAATTAGGCACAGTAAGAGATTGTAAGATTGAATAACAAAACAGGACTATTATAACAATATGCTATAATAAAAGTTATATAAATGTGGCCTCTTTCTCATAAGAGTCAAGACAAATAATAATATTTTTGGACCGTGATTGACCTCAAGTAACTGAAACTGTAGAAAGTGAAACCGTAGATGAGAAGGCTACTGTATAGCCTATGAAATGGTTGGAAGCTGGAGAGAAAACAACCTCATATTTAGGGCCTATTTTTCAAAGGCTAGAGCTAGTAAGGAGGTCCCTCTGAATACTCCTAGAGTATGTGATGACTTCATGTGGGAGAGAAGCCCCCTCTGCCCTCACTTTGTGTCTTGCCAAGCACAGGGCCGCCTTTGGTGCCAAACTCAGTGTGAAAGGAGCCAGATGACTCGGGAGCTCCAAAATAGATTGGAGTCTCAGTGTTCTTGAGTCAGAGGAAGTTGTATTACCTGAATTTTCATAAATTCAAAGTTTTGAGGACATATAGAGTGGACTTGTACCAATTGGGCCAATTATATGAGTTTAAAATACTGCTGCCTAGGTTGTTTAATGATTCTGCTTATTGAAAAAATAAAGCTTAATTTGACATCTTGTTTTCTTTTGTCATAGGCATTTTAGAACACTTAAGAATTTATATGGTAAACAAATAATAGTAAATTTGCTTGGCTCTAAGGAAGGTGAACATATGCTAAGCAAGGCTTTCCAAGTGAGTATGGTCATTTTTTCTTCTCATCTGGCCCATGGTCACCTAGAATGGTATTAAAAATCAATAAAATGATCAGATTCTCCCAGGAAGTATTGTTTCCTAGAAAAAGGTTAGGTACTTGTTGGCATCTTTAACTCTTGGAGGCTTAAAATTAGGAAACAGGCTAGGCTGCTGCTGCTGAAACTGAAATTATAGAAAGCATTCAAAGTACTTGACACTGCATTCTAACCTGCTTATTTAGTTTGGGGAGAAGCAAAAAAATACCCTCCTTCCCCCCGAAATGTTCACCTGTCATAGTAGAGAAATATGAGGCAGTTAACAGGCTAGAGACTTGACAAACAGTAGAGCACCTGCCTAAAAGCACAAGGCCCTGAGTTCAAACTCTAATGCTGCCCAAAAAAAAAAAAAAAAAAAAAAATGAGGCAGTTACCTTCCTTCATTGCCTTGCTTACTTCCTAGAATCCAGTCATTGTTTTAAACCTATAAAATGGTAAATAATGCCATTCATGTGCATGTAAGACCAGGCCTTCCTATGTTAATGAAAGAGAACTGGAAAACTTAAGACTTTCTTCTAAAAAATACTTTAAAAAATACTTATTGAATCAGTAATGGATCAGTATAAATTATGGTGTTTGTTATATAACTTAGTTGAAATGGCTAGAAAGCATTTCCTGAAGTTCAGTCTCATAAGTTTAAAAGTAACTTAAGTGTTTAGCTATTTTTTTAATCTTGTGAAACAAATGTTGTTAATAAATAGATTAAACTTTAAAGAATGACATTTAAATGGTAAACTTAGAAGTATATGTATGTATTTAATGAAGGCATAAAATTGAAACTTTCAATGTGTGATAGGCTTTGTGTTTAAAAAAATAAGATACTTTAGTTTGGGGAAAAACTAAAACACAACTTCTGAAGTTGTGTTTTAAAAATAAAATACTGGTGATCAGAAATAACATTTCATTTCCAAACCAGACCAAAATATTTAGGTTCCTATATGTTAATTATGTCACTTAGTCTCTCAGCGATAGTATATGAGGTATTAGAAAATAGATGTCACTATGTATCAGCAAGTAATTTTCCATTTTACCTCTAATGTCATTGAAAGCTTTTGTGGAATTAGTAAAATTTCAAGGGACTTTGTTGAGGCATTACTTTAAAATGTAAGTTTTCAGTTATAACATTACATTGATAAGATCATATTTTGTTGCATTTAGATGAATATTTGCTTTTCTACTTTCAGAGTCATTTGAAAGCTTCTGAGCATGCTTCTGATATCCACATGGTGAATTTTGACTATCATCAAATGGTTAAAGGAGGAAAGGCAGAAAAGTTACATAGTATTCTTAAACCTCAAGTCCAGAAGTTTCTAGATTATGGATTTTTTTATTTCAATGGAAGTGAAGTTCAAAGGTTTGATAGTTCTAGTTTTCTATTCTTTAAATTGGAACTTTGCTATAACTTAAAAGTCATTTCTAACACTGAACTCTTAAATTTCCTTTTTTATATTGAGTTTTATAACTGTAAAATGTGTTTATACTTGATTTTAGGGTGGTTTTTCTTACAGAATTCAGCAAGATTAATAAGCTATTTCAGTATCTATTTTGGACCAGCAGTATACGTAATCTTTACTTTTATCAGTAATAATAACGATAGAGACAGGTTCTATTACTGTGCTCCTTACATTTAAGAAAATTGAGGCATGGGATGTAATCTTCCTAGGTCGCATACCTAGGAAGTATTAGAGCTTAAATTCATCTGGCTCCAACCCTCATGCTATTATCTATGAAACCATCCCACTTCTCTTTCATACGGATGTTTTAACTTTTCCTGACCCCAGTAAAGACTATTAAATGCACATAGAAGTAAAAGGCATTACATACTGCTTTCCTTTGTACAATATTAGATCTTTAGTTTTTGCATATAAAACAGGAAAAAAGTAAATTGTAAGGTTTAAGTTCAGAATACAGGTTGAAGCAAACTTTTGTGAACAAAACTCAATTTTTTTTTATTATGTTGTGCTGGGTAAGGGTACATTGTAGCATTTACAAAGGTTCTTACAATGTATCAACTATATCATACTTGAATTCACTCCCTCTACTGCTCTCATCCCTCCTCCCCTGATTCCTGGACCAGTTTCTACAGGTGTCATTTTTGCAGTTACATACATGTTGTATACATTATTTGCACTATAGTCACTCTCCCAACCCTTTCCCCACCACCTCCCACCTCCCAACCGTGCCAACACTCCTCCCACCCTCCCCACCCCCGACAGAACCTGTTCCACCCTCCTATTCTCCAATTTTATAGAAGAAAAAACATAAAAGATAATAAGAGAAATGTGGCATTTTTTGCTAGTTTGAGATAAGGATAGCTAGCTTGTGTATTTTATTTTCTATCAATGCTATAGCAGTTTTACTGGGCAGTCAATAGAAATAGGTTTTTAAATATCCATTCCAACAGTACTTGTCTGCTATGTGCAAAGGACTGTAGAATTATAAGCCTGAATGTGTATTTAGCTCCTAACTATGGCCCAATTTAAAATAAGTGTGTGATACAGAACACATAGTGAAATGTTAGCAGATGTAGAATCTAGGTAGTGGGTACAATATGATACTTTTGTCTTTGTTACATGCTTGAGAATTGTGATAATAAAAAGTTACAGAGGGAAAGTGGTGCTGCATTCTAATCACCTCAACTATCTTTATTTGCTTTAGCTTTATTTTTGTGTAAACTAACCAAATAACTTTATTGAAATTGTTACAGATGCCAGAGTGGTACCGTTCGGACTAACTGCTTGGATTGCCTTGATAGAACAAATAGTGTGCAGGCGTTCCTAGGCTTAGAGGTAAAAAATTAATTAAAATGTGTATGCCTTGAACCATTTGCCTCTGAGTGCTTTGGTAATACTTCTGTTTCTCATTAGTTACTTTTCAGAAAATACAAATGAAGATATACTTCATTAAAGGCAATTTTTATTTCTTGTCCTTTTTTTTTGGCCAAAATTCTTTTTGATTTCAATGTTCCTTTATCTGTTCTTCATGTTCTGTCTGGAGATAGCTGTCTAGCCACTTCCTTTTAGTTATTATTCCTCAACTCACCTTTTTAAAAGCTGGTGTTTATACTATTCCAATATTAGCTGCTTTTGCCTGTCTTTAAAATACATACACACACACACCTCTTTATTTTCTGGGTTGTCTTTTTAAGATTTTATGTTAGGATAGTCTATTTTCACATGGACATTCCTTTAGGATTATACTTTTGACATTTTAGTGGCTCAATCCAGTTTGTTTGGCATTTTAAAAATCAATAACCACATCAACTAGGATCAGATGAAAATGCATAGTGAGAGTGAAAATGACTGAGATTCAGCTTCCTGTAAGATCTTGGTTAAGAGGTTTTTTTTTCTTTACCATTTAACCATCAAGTTTGGTCTAAATCAGACATAATCTCAACTATTGAATAAACCATGTAGCAATACTTAGCTTTCCTGTGTCTTCTGTTACACAAGTTAGGATCATAAAGCTGTGGTGTGTCTTCATTTGATCTCTTAAGAACTTAGCATAGTTCTCAAATATTGTAAAAACAGGAATACAGAGTAACTATCCTTTTTTCTCTAGTTAGTGATTTGGCCAGAGTATTGATTAGTTACTCTGCCGCTGGGCTTCTTTCTATCTCAGAAGTGACAGTACAATATGTAAAATTCTCTGCTGTAGAAATGTGTTTTTTTATGTAACTAAATTTTACTCCTTTGATTTTTTGAAAAAAATCAAAATTTATTTAGAAAATGTGACAGATGAAAAGCTAAAAAA